CCGGCCTTGGTCAAGCCCAATCAAATATGGCCTGTTAAAGCCCAGCCTTGTTTAGGACCAGCCTGGAAGGTCAGAGTGGGCCATCATTGAATTAATGCCCGACAAGAAGTTGGGCCATCCATTAACCCCTGTTCCCAGGCTGCATACCGGCCTGACCTAGATATATTAGACTTTTGGAAGTCAAAATTCAGCCCCACAAGACCACAAAATAGCATATTTGTTTTTTTACTTTTTAGTAGCTTATAATGTTTTTCTTTATTTCTATTTCATTTTCATTTGTGTCTTGTGTTTTATTTATTATCTTTCACTTATAGTTTTATTATTTATTTTTTTGCTTTTACAGTTCACTTACCAGTTGTAAGATGTAATAAAATTGGTTGTATAAACAGGAAACAATTTTATTTTCTCTTACTAATATTTTGCTTATTTATATGTTGTAATCTTAAAATAACATATTTTAAGATTGTAAATAACTAGTAACAATCCACTATCATAGTTATCATCAATGACCCCCACACACACACACCGAAGGAACAATTTGATTACTCAAGCTTAGATCCATTAACCACATCAAGGTTGCATGATTTATTAATCAGTAGAGTCTAGTAATTAACATGGTGTAGAAAACTGTAACAAATATATTACTTATGATTGTTCACTGCAATTCTTTTTCTGCACAGATTTTTCAAGGGTCTAATCATGTTAATGTAAGTCATTTCATCCATGACTTATCATTTGGCCCAAAATATCCTGGAATTCACAACCCTTTGGATGGGACAGAGAGAATTCTGCATGAAGCAAGTGGAACTTTCAAATATTATATAAAGGTTTGAGTTCTAGACCTCATCTGATGTGAAATTGATATTTGATGTTTTGCAGTAGCATGATGAAGTTATTGTTCACTCTATAAAGAACTTTAACTTATACACACTGATAGGGACCCACCTATTAGATTAGTAATAGAAGTAATAATAATAAATATTAGTAATAAGGGTCTGTGAGTAGTGGAGTATAAATAGACGGGAAAGGTAAGTAGTAAGGAGGCTTTTTAGACATTTTGGTCTTGGGACTGGGAAAGATCAGAGACTAAACATCTCTATCTTTTGGGGCTTCGGCCATTGGGGGCTTCAGCCAGAAAATTGTGTCTTCTCCTGTAATCGATCACCTTCATCAATAAAGTTTTCATCTGTTTCTTGATATAATTTCTGTAATTCCTGTAGAATTTGGAGGTCTTTAACACACACCCACATACACTCACACTAGACGTTGTGATGTTTTGTCATTTTGAGCATATTTACATTACCCATATTGGTATAGATGTTATTTATCTGCTTAGATGCTAAGGTGTTTTGCTATATACCACCTGTTTTGTTTTGTCGGGGAACATTTACCTATTTTATTAAAAATTTGAGGTGGGAGATACAACAAAGGAAATGAAATAGAACAACATAAAATGTGAGAGGTAGAGATAATTGGCCAGAAAGCAAACAAAGGAGAGATAAAAGACCAAAAATGGCCAAACGGGCGTGGGCCTGAAACGTCCAAGATGACCCAGAGAATATTCAGCTCCAACATAATACAGCCAGGGAGGCTTGTCGTTCAAAACACTAGGTTTTCGAGAGACATCCGAAGAGATGGAATGGTGTCATCCTCTTCCGTGTGATCTGCTATTTGTTCATCCGGTGTCACGAAAGAAAGAAGCCCCATTTTTATCCTCAAAGTAAGCTTTCCTGGCTTTTGAAGGTAGTTGTATTAGAGAGAGAGAGAGAGATACGGTCGTATGTTGGGTTTCATATATAGTTTAAGAAAGCGTTTGTAAGGTGAGAGAAGATCATTGTTGTTAAGATCGTGAGTGAACTGGTAAGATTGTTAGATCTTACTAGTAGTGTATCCTACGGCTACAAATCGTGCCTATTTTCAGAAACATGCTTATAATCGAAAACTGTGGTAAAATCCTGGAATTGACGAGTTGGGTCATAGAAATGCCAGATGGGGCTACGGGTTGATCTGCGCGAGGGAGGATGAGGCCGGATCGGGTGGGCTATGGGTTTGTCAAGGTGTAGGTCTGAAGGGGAAAGTAGATGTGCACGAAGTGTTGGGATCGATTTATAAAAAAGGGAACAAAATCTTTAGCAACCTACATAAGAAGCGGCATCAAATGGATGTTTTTTCCAAAATAAGGACACTTGAAAAAGAAATAGAAACTTACCAAGCTCCTTATCAGGACTGCAAATAAAAGCTTCAGTGTTTAATACCAACTAGTTCTAGTAGTTTATAAAGAAGTACTTTTCTTTGGAATTCTCACCTTGTTTTTATTTGGTTGTTCAAGTCCTATTCTATAGTCATTCGTTGTGTTGTAAGGTATTAATTGTTATTATGAATGAACTATAAGAACATTGAATTCAAGTCTGTTATCATATAGATGTATTTCTTATAAATATTACATAATACTCGTAGCTTTTAATCTAGGATTTTAAGATACGAGTTACTATCCACTAGTAACAATCTACTAAACCTCTTATTATCCGTTCTAGGATTTCAAGTAAAAAACATGAAGATACTTTTTGTGTGGTGGAGATTTACTTTTAGGTGGGTGGAGTTCTATTTAATGGGTAGGTGGAACTTTATTATCTAAGCCTATTTTCAAAATACGAAATGAGACAAGCATTTTGGAACAACCCAAAATGGGAAAAGTGTCAAATAGGTCCTACTACTTAATGAAAGTCAATTAAGTCTATGTACTTTAAGTGTCACCAAATAAGTCCTCAGAGTACGTAAATTTCATCAAATCCAATCTTTAGCAGGTTACTTGTTGATGTGACGCACATGTGGCCTAACACAGCGAACATACACGCAACAACCCACATCGCACTTTCTATTTTTTGGATTGAGAATACGATGGAATAAAGCAAAATGACTCACTAAACTATCTGCAATTTTTAAGATGCGTGCAATTTTTGATGCTATTTTCGTCATAGGTCATCCGAAAACCGTCTCTCTGTGCTAAAGCACAGGAGTAAGGCTGCGTACATCCGACCCCCCCCCCCCCCCCCCCCCCCCCCCGCGCTAAAAGGAAGGAACAAGTGAGACATGGGCTGCCACGTATGTGCCGTGTCACCAGGACATGTAAATTGCTAAGGCGGGTTACTTGCTAAAGTTGGATTTCACGAAATTGACACACTTCGATGACTGAATTGATGAAAGTTAAAGTACGGGAGCTTAATTGACTTTTCGTACATAGTAGGATACTAGGATGGTTTGCTTGACACTTTTCCCTACTAGAAATTATCCTGCACCAGCACACAGACACACATATAGCTTGTTTCTGCTTATATTCAATCAGAAAAGTTAATTTTTAGCTTTGATATGCTTTAGAACACCTTTCTCAAATCTCAACAAAAAACACCAATTTGATGTTATTAGAATAAGTGCCATTGAAAAAGCCATCCCGAAGTACGTTTTGCTGTTGTGGCGTTTTGTTAACCGGGAAATGAGAAAGTGGTCCAGATCTTGATTTTTCACATTTGTGGCAGATTGTTCCCACCGAATACAGGTATTTGTCAAAAGAAGTCTTACCCACAAATCAATTCTCCGTGACAGAGTATTATTCCCCGATACATGATTTTGATAGGTCATGGCCAGGTTTGTTTCAAAACTAATTTTATATTACTTTAAACAACAGATTCATATTTAAGGAAAAATATACTAATAATAATTTCACAATTATTTATCATATAATTGATGCAGCTGTGTATTTTCTGTATGATTTATCACCAATTACTGTGACCATCAAAGAAGAACGCCGAAGCTTTCTCCACTTCATCACCCGGCTTTGTGCAGTTCTTGGCGGTACATTTGCACTAACAGGTTTGTTTTTTTAAAATAGGAACTGTAAAAATAACCATTTCACTGATTTTGAAAGTGATTTAATAAGTGATTTAATTTTGTAAATACTTTTGCGGCTTACAGGCATGCTAGACAGATGGATGTATAGATTTGTTGAAGCGGTGACAAAGCCAAACACTCGAAGTAGATAAATTTGGAGATTGTATTGCATTCAACCCGGGTTGATATGGTTAACACTGATGTACCATTGCAACTAATTAACATTACAACATTGTATTCCCAAATATATATATTCACGTGTTTTGAGAGAGGAAAGGCTTTTGATTCAAAGCTAGAATGGAATGGATTTTAAGAATTATTATTATTGCTAGTCAGTAGAAAAATGTACAAGGATACTTCTTACCCTACTGGAAGATTAAGCTTTTTGAATCGTTTACTGGTTTTATACTAATGGGAGTCGTTTGAGCTCGTCTATATTTGCAATGGAATGTTTTGTACCCCATTCATTTTGATTTTTTTCAAACCCCTTGCTCGTGATTGGCAAATGCTTTCATAGGGTGTACTGGTCTAGTCCTTGAACACCGGAGGGGACATCTGCGTACTTTTTTTGGCTTAACATGTGTTTTATGTATTTTCCCACCAATTGTTAACTTCTATATGTTGCTTTTACAGTCCAAATTAATAATCTTGTAATGGGATGCAACAACTATACAACTATATTAACCATTTCAACTTGTAATGGATTGATTTGGTCTGAACACTGAACTGGTTTGATCTAGTCTGATAAGTGTCTGGTCTTTGTATATTTTATAATTATGCAAGTTTGATGTGATCTCAACAACAACAAAAGTACTCCGGCTTAATATAAGTCTTATCTTTTTTGTTCATTAAGCTTTTATCATATATCGATTCATGTTAGTCGACCCTAATATCGTTTGGGACTAAGACTTGGATGTTGTAAGCTTTTATCCACCTGCCTAACCCCAAAATCTTTTGGGATTAAATCTTGGATGTTGTAAACTTTTATCCACCTGCGCGTTTCGATTAAACCAGAACCACCTGTTTTTATCAGAACTAAAGAGTACCTCTAATTTGAAACTGGGTGTTAACTATCACAATTCGAATATCACAAAACTTGAAAATGGAATTGCTGGTTCTGGTATGACTGCTTTTTAAAAACAAAAATAAGAACAGCATCAGCAGCAATAATATCAAAATGGCTTTCAACACACAGCATCAAGTTATCAACACATTCCTTCATTTCAACCAAATTGACATTATATGCTGAGCAGATCTTGAAATCATGCCGGCACCACATAACTGGGACTAAACAATGATGATACATAGATTCTTCTTACTAGGTGTAAAAAAACATCCATGGTCATCAAACACTAACGAATCAAACTGATTGTGCGTGGGAAAGAAATCTATTTCTCTCTAATTTGATTTCTTTACTTGATTTGAGGTCCCAACCCTTGTTGTGTAATGAAGCTGGAGACCACTAACTCTTATCACCATCTTTGGATTTACATGAAAGGTGATATACCATAACCAAAAAGCATAATTGTCTTTTGGGTCATATAAGCACCTCTGGATCTTTCCCCAACAGTTGGACTCACACTTGCATCATCCGATCAACGTTCCTTGTCATGGTGGTGGGGGTGGTGGTGTTCTGGGGATGCTGCCGGCTGCCTCTCCACCTCAAATACTCCACCACCAGTGAATTTGTGCTTATTGCAATCCCAAACCCAGTGAATGAGGAAAGCAACACAGACAGAATAGCACTCACGTTAAGCTGTGTTGATACATATGTTGTCATCAATCATATAGACTTGAATTGTACCATTCAAAAAGGTCATTATTTCAAACTAAATTATTTGCATACCATACTAAAGCTTTCGGGTTTTATTCTACAATGTCATTATGATGCATAGCCGAATCTTTAATATACTGCTTTTGAATTTTATATTTTTCTGATGTGAGACAGTTTAACAAGTTCTGCGATGTCCATGCTCGTTTTACAATATCATTTTGCCATGAAACATGACTACCAATTATATCACCTAGTTACAATATGATTGATAATTTCCATTCAAGAGAAAAAAGAAAAGCAATGATGACAGTAATTTTAGTAATTGTGAGGATAAGGCTTGGGTGTTGTTTTTGGGTTTCATCTCATAAAAGGTTGCAACAGAATGACATCTTACATAAAACTTTGTCATCTTACTTTTTTTGCACGAATTTTTGAGATGATGCGGAAAAGAGGACCCTTTATTATTACTTTTTAAAATGGAGAAGAGATTTCTTACAGCTGCATAAAATATGTGAGCAAACAAGATCACTATTGCAAACTGAAATGAAGAATAAGCCCATATGTATCCCTTGCTCACTGCAAATCAAATAACAAAAAACTAAGCATCAGCACAAACACCCCAAGTAATAAATTACTCTGAAACAGAAAAGATTTGAAGAAGACACTATTTACAGGTGTAGTTAATCATTTCCAGAATACAGGCCTATGATGACCAGGGGGCAGGGGCGTAACTTGGGGGGCATGTCGGCTATGGCCTACACCAATTTGGTATAAACCTTTGATTTATAGGTAAACAAATTGTGTAAAAATTATGTGAAAAGGTTCTTTTTACCGGCCCACCCGACTACACCACTTGTGATGACTTGTGCAGCGTGTAGTGGTCATCCATGAAGAATTTCCAGTCTTGGAGAGTTCCATTTTAACCATTTGGTTATCTAGCCGACAAGGACTTGAACAAACAAGTACCAATCAATCCTGGGAAAAATATTACCCATTGTAGAGGCTATCAAGGATGACATGAAACCTAAAGCACAAGAGAAGGGCAATGAGAGAGCAAGAGCACGAGTTCCCATGTCAGACACCTACGAAGCGGTACAGCAGCGTTTCAGAGAGGAATCCATTTAATGAACAGATATACTAATAATAACTAGGAGTTCATAACCATATAGAAGTACTTCGTATAATGACGGAGTTGATAGAAATGACAGTAAATCTGTACCACGCTATTCCTATTTTTGTGTGGATATGGATCATTTTCACTAACTAATCCCACGACCCGTCAAGTTAACGGTTGGGTAAGCCCCAAATGGAAACCAATCAAGCTACCTGTCTGGGTTCATGCTGTTTCTGAATTATCATGATATGTTGCGACACTTGTGAATAACCAATTCCAACTTTCATGTATCATTACTAATCAATTCACCTTTTTAGTTGAAACTTTAGGCTGTTCTAGTTTTTTATCTTTAAAAAATAAATGTCAAGATATAAGAGTCAGAATGATATAAAAGGGAGTACCAGAAGTTGCTCTAGAAAGCAAAAATATGCTAGAATGCTGACCATAATAAGAATAGGTACATCCTGCCAAACCCTGTCAAAAACAAGACAATGTGCCCAGCAAATCTTATAAAAAGGTCATTGTAATTTTAAGACGTGGAAAGATAAGTAAAATGCAGACAAAATTTTTAATAAAAGAGACTACTATATATTTTGGCCCAAATTTAACCATGTTGTACCACCAGAGACAAAAGGACATGCATGTGTTTTGGAGGGTATTAACAAAAATCATGATATAATACGAAGGCCCCGTTTGGTAGCCATAATTGGCTTATTTGGCTATGGACCACAATAAGTGATTTTTGACTTGCTTATTTGACTTAAATGGATGTTACCAAACACTTCTCATTCCAGGATATTCAGAAATAGAGATTGACTTCATCTATAGTGAAGCAGAGAAATAAGTGAAATTGAAGAAAAGCGATAAAGAAACTGTTTTATTTAGCCTATGATTGACTTCATTCTTGATGGTAAGTTAAAGGATAACATCAATTGATAAAACTAAGTAAAACCATGAATTCTATACAGATACAGTAGTATCATAGTCCCACATCAGAATATTAAACAACAGCATCCAAGCCTTAATACCAAAAGAGTTTGGGGTCAGCCACATCAGAATATTAAAGAAGGTAAAATTAAACTAGCCTGTACCGAGCAGGTTCCTGTTGCTGTTGAGATGCAGTTGTCAGCCTTCTCACAGCAGTTGAAGGATTCCGTAACTTAAGCAGTGTGACGGGGAGGTTTTTAACTTCCTGCTGGCAAACATCACATAACTTATTACCTTTGATGTTAAACCACTTTATGATACACTCCTTATGAACAAGTGAAAGCTCTCCTTTGCAGCTACACTCCATTTTAAGTGTTTCTCCTCCTTCATCAACCTCAACAAAACATATTCTGCAAATTGCCTCTTCCTCCGGAATGTCTTCATTGTCATCATTAGTAGCAGCTGAGAGGTGATGTAAAAATCACAATTCTAATCAGCAACTGATAAAATGACCACAATAGGTATGCTGTAATTTCATTGTCCTCATTGCTGATTGGAATCAAATTCTTGAATTCATTTTAAATCAGTTCAGATGACATATAATAGTTGAGGTTTAGGTTTCAACTTCCAACCATGTCCCTCGTACTCATTAGTAGCGTTGGACATTGGCATAGCATAGACAATACTCCCTCCGTATTTATATGTTCCCTACATTTGCTTTTGGCAAAATATTTTAGGATAGAATAGTAAGGGTAGTGAATAGTGTAGAAAAAGTAGGAGAGAGGGTGTAAAAGTATGAAAGAGAGGATAAAAAGTAGATAAAGTAAGGATAGTTGAGTATTTTATAAAGGATAAACTTACCAAAAATGGAAGTGTAGGGAATTTTTAAATACATCCCAAAAAGGAAAGTGTAGGGAACTTTTAAATACGGAGGGAGTAACAATTTTGTGATACCATTTTGAAGAGAGGTATGCCTGACCACATTTCTGTCATTCAACTTTGATTTTGGCTAAAACCTAATGCAACGGCCAGACTTTTTATCTCATTAGTATCATAAATTAATTTCAGCTAATACATCATGTCCATGTAATGTCTATTCCATTTTACCGAAGAGTGGAGATAACTTCATTTTCAAGGATGAGTTAATCACTCCCCCCCCCCAAAAAAAAAAAAAATCACCAGATAAACTTGAAGGATAAATAGTAAGCTTCTAGCATACATCTTTGAACAAATTAAAGATCTGATGGCTTAAATCGATTGTTGATACTAATGATATCTAATGGCCAAATCAATGTTAGCCTCACCATCTTGATAGCAATACTACCTTTAAATTCATTTTAAATATAACTTTAAGTAAGTCCCGCCAGATAAATAGCATATAAGAATATGAAATATGAGTTACTAGTTTTAAACCTAAGCAGTATGATTACATGGTGTTTGACATGTGAGGGATAGTTTAACCTAAATGGGTGAGTGGGTGACTATTTGGTAGGGAAAGAAATAACCTCAAACACTCTAATGCAGATGGAAAATGTGTACCGTTTTCTATTTCCGATGTCGTGCCTTGTAACGCATTGCCATCTGCATTTCTCCTGCTAGATGAAGATATTACACGGATCAAATTTCCAGAAGAACCAGTCCTCTTCAAGCTTTTACTTTTAACATTGGCAGGGACAGAAAGAGAACGCGGTATATGCTGTTGGACTTCAAATATCTATTAAGTGGAAAAGGAGAGAGAGGCAAAAAAAACGTAAATAACACAATATTTTGGATCAAACAGCACTCTTAGGGTTGTTTGGTCCGAGGACTTCGGATGGAAGGCAAGGGGAAGATTAATTTTTATAACTAACTTATCTGCAATTGTTTCCTTTAGAACAGAGAAACAACTACATATTGCTGTGTGATTTTTTTATGTAAAAAGAATAGATATCACTCTTGTCCACCCCATCCGACATCCCCATACCAGGCAAGCCTTTAAAGATAAGTTCAGGTATAAAGCTCTCAAAAGTTAAGGATGTTTCAAAATTCACTGAATGGAAACTAAACTTACTGGTGGTTCTGAACGATCATCCACAATGGATTTCATCTGGATGGACCCATTAGGTGTCTCTGGCAAAGAATGAGCTGGCTTTGTTGATGAGGAGAAGAGGGTTTTGTTCAGAGAAAATGAGGTTGAAGGTTTGTCAGAAAGAAGAGTGTCAGGGAGAATAAGAACAGTCTTTTCAGCATCTGGTGGAGAATGCTTTGCTCTAAAACTCTTCTGTGGAATCAAACTCTTCACTGATGATAACAACCTAGCCGAGTTCGGTCTCGGCGGCAACCCGGCCCGAATAGATTCAGGACTTGTAACCTCTATCCTTGTAGAATTGGATAGCTCACTCTCTGACCTTTCAGGTATTTGCAGAGATGATAGGCTTGGCCTCCTTGGCTGCTCCTGCTATAACAAAAAGTACAATAGTACTCACAATGAACAAGATTTTGGCAGCTTCCATCTAAAGAACAGCCTGAATCCAACAAATCACAAGCAAGAAGTTTAACACAAAACAGAAATAAAGTGTGATTACCTGAATTACTTCTGCTTCAGTTGGTTGAAGCATTCTTCTTCCTGCAAGAAAAAAAAAAAGAACTGCAGAATGCTTCTTTACTTTAGCTGAAGAAGTCTAAAAGTAGCAGATCATATAACATTGTGATTAGGACTGGTGATAGCGTGTTGTTTAATTATGAGTACTTTATTGCAAGAAGAAAATAGGGGTTTTGATTCTGTCTTAAGAGAAATATAAATTCTTCTTCTCCTTTTTATTGCCTAGCTACTACCTACCTATCTCACAAAGCAAAACCATCACTTCCAGCCTAGCTGGTTGTGAGGTTATCCTTGCATAGGAGAGGTCTCGTGTTCGAGTCCCACTAGCACCAGTGGAACTATGCTCCCCCCAAAAAACCCTTCAAGTGGTAGGGCCAAGCGGTGTATACTAACCCGTAGGGCCAAGTCAAAGTTGGGTTTCTGGGGTAAGGGGCCGTGAAAGCGGTGGAGCTAGTCACTATAAAAAGTTTACCCATACCTTAGTTTTAACCATCACTTCCAGCCTAGCTGGTTGTGAGGTTATCCTTGCATAGGAGAGGTCTCGTGTTCGAGTCCCACTAGCACCAGTGGAACTATGCTCCCCCAAAAAACCCTTCAAGTGGTAGGGCCAAGCGGTGTATACTAACCCGTAGGGCCAAGTCAAAGTTGGGTTTCTGGGGTAAGGGGCCGTGAAAGCGGTGGAGCTAGTCACTATAAAAAGTTTACCCATACCTTAGTTTTACCGGTGGGCGTAGCTCAACTGGTAGCAAGGGAGTGCCACAAGGGTTAGGTCTCGGGTTCGAATCCCGGCAACTGCGATGAGGGGTTACTATGCTGAAAAATGCATAGGGCCTCTGCAAGTACCGGGGACAGAGCCCCACTCTCTATCTGTCAGATTGTGATTATAGTCCAATTTACATCCTCCCATCGTGCCGTCCGGTCGGTGGTGGGGGGCCCTCAGGGATGGGGTGTCATCCTTTTTTTTTTTTTCACAAAGCAAGAATAGTGTATACTGTATAAATACAACAAAAGTAAAAGTTCTTTGATTTGTTTCTCTTGTTTGTTTGCTGATAGGGAGTCAGTTCCAGATCTATGCTTTTAGCTTTTTTCAGATTTTAAGGCAAGTGCATGTTCTTACTTATTAGCTTCTTAGGTAGGGTTTTTTATTTTATTTGTTTTGCCAAGGGCTTCTTTAGTTCTTTTATGAATATCCCTATGTGACTTTAGTTTGACTAGATTAATTTTGGGTACACCACTTAACACCGAACTAAACAATGCTTTAAAATTCTGTCAGGTTAGGGTGTGGAGAAACTAAACACGGATTATATGAATATTTGAATGAGTGAATCATCATTTACAAAAACATTTCAAATTTGCATTCTTAATGAATTGAACTAAAACATGTAAACAAAAAGAATTTAAAAGGATTGTGATCCATTTGAACAATTTTCAATCATCACATTTGTTAGTTTCTTATTTTTCTTAAAGGGAGAGAGTGAATGAGACAACTAGAGAGAAATATACAATTTGGTGATACCAAATAGGTTCTTTATTGATTCATTACTAATTACACATAATTTTTTTTAATAATCACACCACATTCCTCATTTAATAGCACGTATGTAGTACTCCGTAACATTTTGCTAGAAAACATCAAAAGTACAAATTTAATTTAGTTCAATCGGCTTCAATCTGGCTATCTTAGTTCGGTTACAAATTAAAGCTTAAACCATAAATTGCAAATTAAACTCACAATTATAACATCATTAGTTTTGCCGTTTTGATTGGTTTCAATTACCATTGATGTTAGAGAGAATTCCTTAAATGAGAGTAAATTTTTTTGAAATTCCAAAACAGGACTATACTAAGCTTTAAACATGTCATTTTTTTCAAACTTGGCAGATTACTCCTATTCAGGAAATAAAAAACATGATAATCCTATTTTAGAATTTCAAAACGTTTTTACTCCTATTTAAGACAATTTATATTGATAATTTTATTTTGATCTATTGAGTTTAAGTTATCTCGTCACTACGTTTCGAATTAATAGTTTCGTTGCCCCCATCCTAGGAAGAAAACAAGGTTAAACATGGTTTTTATTTGCGATGATATTTAAGGGTCTTTATCATATACTCCATATAATCATTTTTGAAATATTGTTAAATCTATTATAATTTTTGTTCATGATAATGTCAACATCATTGATCGGAATGATGTCATCAAACCACAATATTATTTGGCTATACTATATAATCATATACATAAATAATTGCCTTATTTGATATTATTAAGTCTCCTGACCACTTTTTTCACTGGTTAACTCATAATCTGAATGCATATATTAATTAAATGATTAAAATCGTTTGGTACTATCAAGTCAATGAAATTGAAGCTGACAGAAAAATTAACCACAATAAATATCAAAAGGACGCATTTTGATTTTTGAGTATTCATGTACGTGTATAAATAGCACTCCGTATATTGAAAAACGTAATGAGTAGCTAAGATATGTAAATTCACCAAATATGAGAAAAAATGTTCTGGACTTCGCAAGTAGGATGATGATCATATTTTTATTCTCTAAATATAAATAATTATTGTCAAGTTTGAAAAATTCTTTAAAGTACAATACTATCATATGTCAATAATTAGTTCTATTCAGGAATAAAAAAATGACAGTGAAATTTCTGAACAATTTTACACTTGTTTAGGAGCATTTCTCAAGTTCTATCTTAATGAAAGAGTTTGATGAATATACTATTATACCACGATTTTTCGCACAACAAAAGCATTGATCGAGATATTTCTAAACTTGCAGAGTAGTTTTTTCTCTTTGGGGAAAAAAGTGAAGTTAATTTCTCCTTTTGACATTCTAAAAAATATAAATCATATAATCATCATTTAATAAATGTGACAATAGAAAAAATTAAATTAAATGTCCAATACTTGATAAAGAGAGTTAGAGAGCCATGGTCTTGCACAAAAGAAATAAAATAAACAGAGCCACGGTCCACCAAATATTATGGACCAAGTGTATGGATATGACAATCTGTAATATGGAGTATATTTTTCAGATACGATGGAAAGAATGGGATATTGTGCGCGTCATTAATATCTATTTTATATTCGTTTGAAGTCTCAAAATTGATGTCTAGTAGAAATATTTCGATTCTGTATGAAGATATTTAGCTGATAATTGAAGCTAGCTCATAGGATTTGTCTTAAAATCCCTTTAAATTCAATATAAGTTTATTGAAACTTTCCTCTTTACAATAACGTGCTTTCACCGGCATTATCACCAATTTTTGCACAGTTTTTTTTCATTCTATAATTACACAAACTCTAGAATTCATATCAAGCAATATAAACTACTTGAGAGTTATATTAACAAAATACATGGAGCAATGTTTTTATAGAAATCTGGTCATTTAACTCATTAAAAATTAATATCAACCAATCAAATAAGTACTTTTCTAGTTAAATTAAGTGTTCAAAGAATTGTTAGTTCTTAATGTGATTTGCAATTATACTACCCGTCTCTTTTTAATTAGTTATCCTAACTTTTCTAGTTAATGATGACAAACGTAAAAAAAAATTATAGCTAATATATTTTTCCAAAACTTTTAAAGTTTCTACTTTATGATCGATAATATTTTATAACAAAAGACAACTTTCATACTCCGTATCATTTCATATGATAAGTACTTTTGTATGGATTACTTAAAATTGTCATAAATATATTAATGATGACGTGTATCTCTAATTAAAAATTAGTTTGTATGGATTACTTAAAATGGTAATAAATGTATTAAAGATAACGAGTATCTCAAATTAAAAATTAGTCAACAACTCATTTTAAGTCCTCTGCCATTAATTGAATTATTGACATGTTAATTTTTATGACTTTCGACTTTAAATGAAAAACACGAGCTTTGGTATAGTAAAAGAGATGACAATAATATATGTTGAGTTTTATTAATTAGAACGTTGTGCATGTCTATGTTTCATGTTTGGTATGACATGTTATAGCTGTACTTTTTAAGTTAAATGAAATTTGGGACAGTGTTTACTTGGAAAGCTGGATTAAGCTTGTCTGGGAAATATGTTATGAACTTTTAATTTAATTTCCTTTAACCTTTTTATTTTACAAAATCAGCGCCTATTTTTTAACTTACTTATTTATCATTTTCTTTACATAAATCATTACTCGTTTCTAAACAATGTAAAAGATTGTTTCTTGAATAAATACATTATCCTCATTCACTCGCTTGTGGGCGTAGCTCATCTTTATTGTAACAGAAGCAATTAATTTTTTACTCCACATAATAGTATAATATCTAGAAATTGTCCTAAACAGTAGTAAAAACGTTTTGAAATTTCAAAATAGAAGTGTCATGTTTTTTATTCACTGAATAGGAGTCATCTGCCAAGTTTGAAAAAAACTGTGATGTTTAAAGCCTTGTAATACCCAAACTTAGCAGAAATTTACTCCACATAATAGTATAATATATAGAAATTTCACATAATAGTATAATATATAGAAATTGTCCTAAACAGTAGTAAAAACGTTTTGAAATTTCAAAATAGAAGTGACATGTTTTTTATTCTCTAAATAGGAGTAATCTGCCAACTTTGAAAAAAATGTCATGTTTAAAGCCTTGTAATGCCCAAACTTGGCAGAAATTTACTCCTATTTAGGGAATAAAAAAACATGATACTCTTATTTTAGAATTTCAAAACGTTTTTACTCCTATTTAGGGAATTCTCTCTATAATATACAATTGTGTGATATTAGTTGACACATCGGCACCCTATCCTGAAATCTCAGCACCGAACAAACACTCAACTACTCCCTTCGTCCCATTAGAAGATTCTCACTTTCCTTTTTTGGACTTCCCATATAAAGGTTCTCATTTCCATTTTAGGAAATAATTAACAATCTTAAGTGACAAATTAATCATTAAATATTAAAAATAATACATTTATAACATCACAGGTATTAATATTAACTACTCCGTACATTATAATATATACATATTAAAATGATTTCTCAAAATATATTCGAAGTATTTTATTTAATTATTGTTTAAATAACTGTGCCGTTTTGCTATGTGAACCTTCCAACAGAACGGAGGTAGTATTTAGATGTAAATCGGACTATAATCACATGACACAAGCTGACAGATAAGAATGAGACTTTCGATCAAATACTTGCACAAACTTATGCATTTTTACATAATAACATCTTATAACAATTGC